TAAAGGTGTATGATTAAAATCGATTTTTAATCGATTTTTTGATTATTAAAATTGATTTTTTTACATATTTTTTTTTACATGGGAAGTATCTGATATTTGATATTTAAACAAGTGTAAGTGAATTCTGTTTTCTACGTCTGATTCTATCATTCTCAGGATTTTCATAACGCATATTCCTATTTTGTTTTTTACATTTTTATCAATTATTATACAAATTATATTTAGATGAACCTTTTATCTCCGATAGCTGTTCCAAAAATGCCACTGATAAAATAACTTTATCAATAGAGTATTAACCTCTCGAATATGCAAAAGGTGTGTTCTAATCCGCTGAATGTCCTGTTTTCAAAATAGGGCGATTCGATTGAGTTTAAAACCGTTTAGTGGAGAAAAAGGAATTCAATGAGATAATGAAGTTTCATTTTTTTTGTCTTTGATCACATTATTGACGGAGTATAAGCAACATCTATCTTCTACTGTTGGAATGATAGGAAAAACTCAACAAGAACACCGATAAAAATAAACAACCAACAATACATACTCTTTCACATACCCTTTATCAAATTTAAGTCTATTTTACTCTGAGTCATTTTATAATGTCTAAAAGAATTTGAATCATCATTAATACTATTTCGACTTCTCATGAGTGGAGCTTTATAACACATATATTAACTTTGCTCTTGATTACCCTCCATCTGCCTGAGAGTGACTACGTGGTCAATGTTGTTCCTTAGTATGCATAATTCATGGAGTTATCATGAAGCTTTCGAGACACATCTAATTCATCAGTGAGCTTCTTCATTGATTAATATCACACTGAAAGTCTAACAGACCTCTATCAACTAAGGACATGATGTGAAATGTCACGTCTTGCCCGAAATTTTTCTAACCATCCGTTATATGTTTTAAACGAACCAAAATGTATCATCTAATGGTTAAGCTATCTCTCATACCTTCTCCTGCAATATCGGGCCAGAAGTAACTATTTTTTTTGCACCTTGCTGTACAAACCATTCATGAAATTTGTTAGTCTAGTTTTTGTGCATTGACATCTTTTGATTTTCGTTTAACATTTTTATTTTTATTTGTTTCATAATCATTTAAATATTCTGTTTTATGTTTGAAAATATTTGACACAAGACTAAGTGAGATGTTATATTTTTCAGCTAATCTGCGTTGTGATAAACCATTATCATCTTTATTATCAAAAATTAATTGTATTTTTTCTTGCAAGGTAAACTCGTATCGTGATGTCATTCTTCATTTCACATATATAACAGTTAAATTATTCAAAAAATGTATTTAGTCGAAGTGCAAAAGAAGTAGATCACAGAGGGTGTGGGTGTGGGTGTGTGGGGTGGGTGTGGGTGTGGGGTGTGGGTGTGGGTGTGGGGTGTGGGTGTGGGTGTGGGTGTGGGTGTGGGTGTGGGTGTGCGGTGTGGCTATGGCTGTGGGTGTGGCTGTGGCTGTGACTGTGACTGTGGGTGTGGGTGTGGGTGTGGGGTGGGTGTGGGTATGGATGTTGCGCTCTTTTATCTATACCCACTCCCACACACCCACACACATACCCATACCCACACACTCACACCCACACCCACATCCGCAGCCATACCCACACCCACACACCCACACACCCACAGCCAAACACACACACCCACATCCGCACCCACACCCACACCACACCCACACCCAACTAGACCAGACGCCTATAAAGTAGTGTTTGGCCTAGTCAGGACTAGTGGTTCGGACATAAAAGACTAGACATGCTGCTCGTCAGACCCATTTTTTAACCTCCTTGAGATTCATTTTGTTTCCACGATTATGCTGCTTTCTTCTTTTGCCAAGACAGATTCAATGCACTTCTGCGCAGATTGAACTTTCCGAATTCGACAGTTTATTTGGAACTAACATAAATAAATGGCTACATAGAGAGGGCAAATCAAGCCATTTTTCGAGTCGAGTCGAGTCAAAATATTTTTGCCAATTTTTTATCTTCGACTTATTATTATGAAGAACGTAAAAGCAAGTTTCTTATTACATGATATTTTTATTAGGTTTTCGTGTCCAAAAGAAATAATCACACATAAAGTAAATGATACATTTAATCTCTCTTTCATGATTATCACTTTGTATACGAAGATCAAAGAAATTACTGTATAGCAAAACCATTTAGTGTATGATCAGTCAGTTATACAATCAAAACAGTTAGTGAATAGGGTGCGCATGTCGGTATATCTGTAAAGCAAGTAATTGGATTAAAAATTAATAATGGATACATAACGAACAAAGTGATGGCAAATATGTACGATGCAATAGAATTTTTTTATTTATTTTACCGTATAAAAGCGTACATACAGTGAGTTTCATACTAAAAATTCTGGCTTTTTAAAAAAAGTAGATGAAATTTTATTTTGAACAGATGATTTGAGTCACATAGTTGAGTCAAAACCAACTAATGTTCGAGTCCGAGTCAAGTCAAAGTCATTAAAAAAAATGTGACTTGAGTCGACTCGAGTCCGAGTCATGACTCCACCTCGCCCATCTCTGTGGCTACAGTCATACTCACATACTTTCTATGAAGTGCATTTTATCATTATAATTTTTCTCATGAATGTCAAATTATTTAACGAAAAGCTATAAAATATAATAATAATAGTTTTCTTATTTATTTCAAAATTAAAAAATATTAGAAAAAAAATGTTTTACTAACAAGAAATGTTACCACCATAAATATATGCTGTTCTGTACCAATCTATCATCAGCCGACCAATTTTTTACTTTGGCCAAATCAATATTTACATCTTTCTGTGCTTCGATAAAACTTATTATTATGTTGATATTGTTGTTAGATACATTTTCAAAGCATAACGAAACTAAATGACGAGTGTTCTTATTAGTTTTTGACAATAAAAATTGTAAAACCTGTCCAAGACGCCACCATCCAAATTTATTGATTGTAAGATGTTTCAGTCGTGGACATAAATTAATAAAAAGTTCTATTAATTCCATTTCATAGGATGATATAATAGTCACATTTTGAATATTATTTGTTTTCGAAACCAATCTAAAAGTTTCATTTTGTTGAAGTGTATATGCATTTGTAAGCTGATATGATCTTTGTGGATCATCAATCAATAGTTCAATGTTTAATGTATGAAGGGGTGTGGGTGTGGGTGGGTGTGGGTCAAAATATTTCATTCATCCACACTCACCCACACCCACACCCAGACCCAGACCCACACCCACACCCACACCCACACCCACCCACACCCACCCCACACATCCACACCCCGTACTGACTGTACATGAATTATGTCCGACAGCGCCTACAAATGGTTTCGTTCGATTAAATACGACGTAATAGAAGAGATTATTGACTGCTTCGATCAAAAATAGAATGACGAAAATAATGATGAAATAACTTTAAGCAGTATTAACCTTTAACTGAAAGGTAAAGGACAACGAATGATAGACAACATATATCTAATTTTGAGTCTATTTTTACTCATGATAAATAATAAGAAGAAGAAGAAAAAAAAGGATCTTAATCCCTATCAAAAGTTTTGTTTCGATAGAATGTCATCTAATCTAATCATTCATACAAATTATCACGATGACAGCACATCAACATCAACAGTTGACGATTTTGATTAGCACATTGACTGAACAGAATAATGTTCTTGACATGATTGTGAACAAGATCATTGATCTGTTTCAAGAGGATGGGCATATAGTCCCAGCACCTAATGAACAACAACGTCGACGAAGTAGTAATATTTTTGACGGTAGTCCTACTTCTCCACCTGGAAATACAACGCAACGTCGACGAAGTAGCAGTATTTTTGACGGTAGTCCTTATTCTTCGCCTGAAAATACAACGCAACGCCGCCGTTCGAGCACTTATAATGAGAAAGGTCTAATAAACAATGTTAATACAATGCTATACGAAAATCGTCATTTTGAATAACAGTATCCATTCGAAATTTTGTTTAAAATCTTCTTCTCTATTCAAGGTCTCAAAAATTTATTTCAACAATCAATTGATCGTTTTCTTTGTTATTCTTCCATTTATTTGTTCTCTCTTCAAAATAAACTTGAGTTATACTACACTCCGATATTGAATTGATTAATGATTTTTTCTTTCTCAGTGGATGACGTAAATGAGTTACAAAGTAATTCAAAAAACATGAATTACAAAATAATTCAAAGAAATGAATAAAACAGCAGGGTCCAGTAGGGTCTACCAGGGTCACGATGTAGAAGCCGCAAAACGACTCACATCACGTCCCTCTCAATGTAGGTGCTGCGAAACCCTGATAGACCCTACTAGAGTCTGCAGACCCTAGTAGATCTGCTGTTTTATCAATTTCTTTGAAATATTTTGCAATTCATGTTTCTTGAATTACTTTGTAATTCATTTATGTCATGGACTCTTCTTTCTCCAACTTCCACTATTAGATCGTGATGTTAGATGGAAGATATGTTCGCCGTATGGGAAGGGTGTGTGTGTGTGTGTGGATATGGATGGATAAAAGACACACCCACACTTTGATAATCCACCATGCGTTACAAAACAATATTCGTGTAAAAAAAAATAGGAGTTTTTTGTTCGACAACATGTCATTCAAAACGAGATGGTATTACCAATATGGATAAACAAATTAAAATATTTTGTTTTGTAAATTATTTAGTTAAATGAAGAGATATTGTTGAATAAAACAAAATATTTTATTCAGATTATAATTTTTTTTGTTGATTGTGCAAATATATCTCTAGTCAAATTCTAATTTTGCCTACAACATATATATATATATATATATATATATATATATGAATCACCTTGGAACAGATCAAATCAATATCGAAGCATTTAGTTTATTTTTACAAAGGAACATTAAAATAATAGAATATGAATAAAATCATTACTATTTGCTTATTTCTAACAATTATGTGTAAATTTGTTATGAATAAAAAAAAATAAGAATGATGACAAAGACTTCCACTATGTTTTTCAGAATTCATATTAGAGGATATCATCTTAGTTATGATCTATAGCCCTATTAATTCTATACGGATCATAATACATGTGATTCGTATAACTTGTCTTTTTCTATTCAATCTGTTATAGTAAGAGCGATAACAATATGTTCTTGCGTAATCATATGAAATTTTCTTATTTATGTGGGTATAACAGTATTCTTAGGATAAGATTTAATCATTATATAATTTTTGCGTTGATTTCAATATGAAGGAAAAGAAACGCCAACAAAACACTATGACAGATGATAGTACGAAAAAAAAATTTCAAATTCCTCTTATTTCCTTAGCAACAACAATCAATAGAGGCCAATGAGTAGGTTGTAAACATATCGATTATTCATATTACCTTTTATTTTATTTAAGAAATTCGATCAATCACTTTGAAGATCTTTCAAATGAACTTATCTATGAAATTTTCGAATTTCTTGATTCTTATCTTATTTATAAAGCTTTTTTTGATCTCAATACACGATTTCAAAATCTTTGTATTCATTCAAATCTTCCAATTAATATCAATATTTCATCTTTATCTAAATCAACTTTTCAACGTTATTATACCCAATTGATTATGTCTAAGAAATATCAAATTCAATCATTTTATTTATCAGATCCATTCATCATTGACTTCTTTTCTTCATCAATAGAAGATCTCAAAATGTTTTCAACTTCGAACACTTATTCTTGACATATTTGAATCAGAACATATGGAAAATCTTCTTCATAGTTTCACTTCTTTACCAAATCTTTCATCATTGGCTATTCCTATTGCGCAGGGTTCTAATACAAATACTATCTATAATCTAATATTTCAATTACCAGTACTAAAATATTGCAAAATGACTTTCGAAGAAAACATTTCTTTCGAATCATTACCTAGGTCTACCAAATTATCAAATTCTATTGAACATCTTGTTATTAATGGTGCATGTCACTACGCTATCATTGATGCCCTTTTATCATATGTTCCTCAACTTCGTCGTCTATCAATTAATTATTTGTATGGATATTACCGACATGGAATAAATGTATTCTTGACTGTTTTGAATAATTTAACACATGTCTCGCTGACATTGAAAGATCTATTATTTGATCAATTTGAGCCATTTATTGAACAAAATCTTAGTCGGGTTAAAATACTGAATATTGCATCAAACTATGACACAGTGTATTTAAATGCCGCTCGATGGCAACAAATCATTTTGACTCATATGCCACATTTACATATCTTTGATTTTCAACATAAATGCGAACTATTCTATCGTAATCAATATAAAAATATACATCTGCATTTATTTCAGAAGTTCACTACTTCTTTTGGGTTGGAATGACAATGGTTCTTCACATATGATAATAATTTTGGTAGTCCACCATATGGAATCTTCTATTCGATTAAACCATATAAGTAAAAAAAGATAGATTTTGTTGAATATCATATGTAAATTTTGTTTTCATTTTTAAAGACGAAAATGCTTCACATTAACTGGTGAACCAAATTTAGATAAAAATGTTTGTCATGAAAAAACAATTTTTGATTCAGTTCATCATGTAATCATCCAAGACGAAAGGGTAATCGTCAACAGTTCAAAATATTTTCCAAACGCCAATGAACTCACTATCTTCAATCAACGTGCTAGTTGTTCTCATTGGAATTCAACTTATTATATCGATGGCATTATTCCTGTGATACAGATTACTAAGTTAACTATCGATTATAGTCATCATCCTTTTAATAAATTAGTCGATCTCTTATATTGCATACCAAACATTCAGACATTAATTTTTAAACAATTATCACTTCCTGAGATGGATTACTTTCTATTACAAGAAAGTGAAAAATTTCGATTGGTATCAAATCAAAATAAAATAAAAAGTATCACTTTTTCACTTGATTATTCATTGCGCAAAATCAAATTATTTATGAATCTTTGTCCTAAACTGCAACAACTGACTATTGGTATGGCTGATAATTGTCTTGAAATAACTGTTCAATTTTTATTATTAGAAACTAAGAGAACTATTTGTCATTTATCTTCATTATGTATTTTTGGAATGAATACAATATCGAATAAAAAATTGAAAACTCTAATTGAATCAAAAAACCTTCTTGATGATTATTCGATAAAAATTGTCGATCGAAATTTTTATCTTTGGTGGTAATATTAATTACTAAACAACTCTTTTTATTGAAATTTTATTCAATATCAAATAAAATAATCTAATGATATTTGTGTTTTTTTGTTCAAAAAGATGCGACAGAGATTGCTAAACACGAAATAATATAATGAGTGCGTAAATGATCCTGATTGAAAAGATCGAACATTTCGAAGTGGTTGTGAGAGTGTGGGTGTGGGTGTATTGTATCTCTTCGTCTACAACCACACTCACACTAGGGATGCAACAAAATCCAACATTTGAGGTTTGACATCATTGGGTTTGGACTTGAAAATAGATTTGGATTTGATTTGGATTCGAGTTTGTTTTTTTTAGTCTAGGTTTGGACATAGGTTTGGGTTTCGAAGTTTAAATTTGGATTTGTTCGTCATTGATCCAAAATCCAAGGAATTTGGTAAGATACGGTGTTAGAAACAACAATCTACTCTAATAGGGATAGGATTTAAAGCAAAAATATTTTAGGGTTTGGTCTTAGATGTCTCAATTTTTTTCTGATTGTATTCTATCCCTAGTACAGTAAACTGTTATTAATGACACTCTATCTTACCAAATCCTTTGAATTTCGGGCAAATGATGAACCAATCCAAACCAAATTCAAACCTAAACCTGCAAGGGATGTGGGTGTGTGAGTGTGGATATCATTCTCTTCCCAACAACCACACCCACACCCCACCCTACACCCACATTCACACCCGCATGTATTCTTTTAGATGCTTAATTAATTGAAAAATCGGCAATTTTTCACTTTCATCTTAATCTCATCCTTTTTGTGAGAATATGCATGAGGGAGTAGTATTCAAATGAACAGATAGTGAAAAGTGGATATATGTAAAAGAAGAATGTCTGAAACAGCAAAATGGTCATATTTCAGGCTCTGCAGGACCAATTGTGGTACCAAAAATTATTTTTGCCGAGACCGGAACTAAAACCACTTTTTGCTAGTCCCAGAAAATTACCCTAAATAAAAAAAAACTCAGTTGTCTTTTTATGCCGATGGATAAACAATATTTCTTTAATTATTTCATTAAAAAAAGACAAAAATCGACGTTTTCGAATATCTATTGCTATGTACATGTTTAGGACACTCACACATAGATAGATAACAGGCTATTTATATGGGTGTGGGTATGATGTGGCTTTGACTGTGAGTTCATTCTTGTCTGTTTTACTCATACCTCGCACCCCTACTACATCCACCTCCACACACATACACCATACTCGCATGCTTACGTTACACCCATGTCGTCACAACCACCTAGAATCACAATCGCATCTAGCTACACCCGCATCCTCTTAGATCTAAACGTGCTGTGAATATCAATGAGAGTCTATTTAAGGAACAAGCATGAGTAATATTTCTCAATATTTATCAGCTTTTATAAAGTCTACAGTAAGTCGAAAACAAAGTGAAGAATACTAATGATCTACTGATATTGAAAAGAATCTGATTGTCATTGTACATTCTGATTGGCACTCTTCATGACAGCTTTAATGATTGTTATCTGTTTCTGTGGCTTCCTGTTCGGCAATCTTTCTATGAAAATTAAGAATGTTTTGACGTGCCACCTGAGCGTTCTCATGATAAAGCTCCAATAAATCATTGTCGCAAGGTTCTGTTTTCGAAACCATCTCAATTGTTTTTTCATATGATATAACACATTTCCATGGATTATAGTCTAAGTCGTAAGCTTCACCCATGTGAGCGCAAATATATGCAGCGGTTCGATAGTCTGGTGGAGACATGCTTAAAGATAATTGAAATGCGTTTTGATAATAATCAATACCTTTATCTACATTGTTTTGTCTAACTTGAGTGAGACCTAGCAGTGCCAGTGTATTGATGGCATCCATCTGTTCATCTTGTTCTATTTGTTTATTCAAAAGTTGTTCAAAAGCTTTCTCTGCTTCTTGATATCTTTCACTTTCCAAATATAAGTAGCCTAAGTCTAAATAAAGTGAATGGAAGGGAGAGTCTTCTGTTTGCATGCAAAGAAGTCGTGTATTTAGAGCAGTTTCTAAATTATTTATCGCTTCAGTATTATTTCCACATTGTACATAGTATTTCCCAAGTCCTTTATGTATACTAGCCCATAGTTCATAGTTTATTGGCGCACACATGGAACGAGCTAATTGATAACTCTCAAATGACATCTCCATTTCATTTAGTTCTGAATAACAAAAGCCAATTTCCATATGAATTTCAGCAAGCTCTTCTGTCATACAAAGACCAAGTAATTTTTGGTAATACTCAAGTGCTTGACGATATTCACTTGATGCTTTATAAACATTAGCCATACTTTTAAGAATACTTATCATCATTTCAGGATAACATTCCTTACCCAGGTCGAACATTACTGTGCCCGTAAACGACCGTACACAGCCGTTTACGATGACGTGAACGGCCGTATCCGCCAAAACTACGACCGTATACGGGCCGTAAATAACCCGTTTGGTATGCGCCGTATTACGGTCGTGTGAGACCGTGTCGTGTACGGCGAAATACGACAATCGTTTACACCAAAATCTGTGCCGTAACACGGCAGTATTTTGACGAAGACGACAGTTTACAACGACCTAAACGATCGTAAATGAATGTAACCGACCGTTTTCGGTCACACATTTGGAAAGGATTTCACCAGGATTTCATTTGGATTTCACATTGATTTCACATGGATTTCATTTGGATTTCATTGGGATTTCACAAGGATTTCAAATGGATTTCATTTGGATTTCATATGGATTTCATATGGATTTCACTTGGATTTCACATGGATTTCACATGGATTTCATATGGATTTCATATGGATTTCATATGGATTTCACTTGGATTTCATATGGATTTCACATGGATTTCACATGGATTTCACATCGATCTCATATGGATTTCACCAGAATTTCTTCAGTCTCTCAGTTCGATATGATTTTGATATCACCTGGATGCCATCAAAAGATTATCATCACTGCACATGCATTTTATATCGATTGCTTTTGGATTACGTCTTGGGTCTGATTCCGGCGACCGTTTTTCTTGATTCCAATATTGCTAAACTGTGAGAAGACTGCTACAATGTGCGTAAGTATCCTCTCGTTGTACTCAGCGGCGTAAGTCAGTCCCGTAACTACCGCCTTTACGCTGACGCAGCCTTCTTTTTGTCGTAATTCAGATTGCGACGAGAGAAGAATAAACTTATAAAACCACTCACCTTTGGACACCTGCAATCTACTGGAAGGGCGAACTAAATCCTGATATATATAGAGCTGTTGCTCCTAAAGAAAACGGTGAATGACTACTTGACCAAAATCTTATAGGAAATCCAAATTTTGAATGGGGAAATTTCGGCTTGAAATGAGAAGTGAATGAGTGAAAGACAAAGTAAATCCCGGTATAAATAGAGCTCTTGCTACTAAACAAATCAGTGAATGAATACTCGACCAGAAATCTTACAGGAAATCCAGATTTCAAAAGTGGAATTTTTCGAGAGGAAAGACGAAGAGTATGGTTGAGTGGGAAAGTAAATCCTTGTATATATAGAGCTCTTGCTACTAAACAAATCGGTGAATAAATACTCGACCAGAAATCTTACAAGAAATCCAGATTTCAAAAGTGGG